CAAGTGATTACCACCTGTTCCTGTCTATGGCGAATGATTTTGCTGGTGAAAAATTCGCCTCAAGAGAAGCTTGTGAAAATCGACTGTCCCAGTTTTTTGCCAATAGGGACGAGGGTTTCTATGAGAGAGGCATAATGAAATTACCTTCAAAATGGCAACAAGTTATCGAACAAAACGGTGCATATTTGACCTAAATCGGATCATTCTAAATAAAGATCATGCTAAATAAAGCCTTCAATTGAATGCAAAAATAATAGATTTCTTTTTACTATACCTTATATATATAGTATATCAAAAATAAACGAATATTTAAACTATATGTCTTACAGTTTGAAATTATTCATTCTTTCCGTCTTCACGATATCTATTCGTTTTTTTCTTTCCTACATTCTTCGTGGTATTACATGTGCCGGCAAAATCATTGCGATCGATGGTATCATCGCGTCTGATAATATCACTGCGCTCACTTTAAAAGCATTATTAGAATATAATCGAATAAGTATAATAAAAATAAAAAAAAATATATGTATATGTATATGTATACATTTTGCATATGACAATAAGTAAAAGGAGTCACATAAGAAGCTGCAATGAGAGAAAAAATCGTAAGTATAGGATGCACATTTACATAAACAGTGATACCACTTGAGATCTTCCCCGCGTTATTCCTTCCTCCCCCCGCCCCCAACAAGTTCCTCTCGCGACCGCGATGCCAGCGTCGCCTGGTAGCAGCTTGGTATCTGTAGTCCAGAACCCCCATTACTATATTACTTACAGATTTTTTTATATTTTCACTTAAAAATAACAATTCACCATAACTTTGAATGATTCTCTCATGATATAATTCCTTTTTTACTTAATTCTACATTCCAAGTACTAAAGAAACACTACATGAGCTAAATACTATATATAGGATGCGCCAGCTAAATCCGGTCGGAATTAAATTTGAATTTTCCTTTACATGTGACTTTAACACACTGCAAAAAATGTCTAGTGCTTTTGATCGGAAATAACTGTTCTAGTTCTTTCTCCGATCAATTTCGATCAGATTCAGGATTATCCGATGAAGCGATGAACACTTCTATCCGTTGAAATGTAATTTTCGATTACATGTGAACGGAATATGCCTATCAGTTAAAATTTCATTGGATAAACTTATAACCTGATCGGACATTAGACTTGAACGGATAAAAAGAGAGTATTTTATTCGATCAAATTTTATATTTGATTACATGTGCTGTATCCGATCTGACGAAATATCCAATGAAAAAATATCCGATCAATTGGAAGGTGTTGGCCAATTACAGAATAGTTGGTCACGTGATCAGAGACTGTTTCCATAGGCTCTCTAGGCTGGCATTACCACAATATATATGTATTTGTAGCATTGCTGATGATGTTGAGGTCATCAAGCGAGCACGTGTCTCTAGCGCGAGTTTGATTTTTATTACACATTCTTTTTTATTCTTTGCCATATTCTTGATTTATTCTTATTTTTGGCCATATAAATTGCAATATCCGTATCGAAAAGAAATGTATGACGACGAAATTTTCAATGGTATTAAAATCCAGGATATAAAAAAATAGTGACTTTTACATTTAATCTTATTTCCATTAAATATTATTTTAATTTTTAATCAATATTTTCTGTTTTTCAATATTATGATCATGATGGAAAAACACGATTTATCGGATAATTTGGTCGGTTAAGCACTTGACGTGTACAAATAATACTGAGTTTATGAAACTAAAATTAAAAGCTTCAAAAGAAAAATTTATATCGATCTGCGAATAACGTGTATACGAACGCTGAACGAAAACTCGGAAACTAAACAAAGCAAGATGTGTCTAGCAGTAAGTATTCAATCTTCTAAAAGATGGCGTTGCAATATATTAGATAAGGACAAATGAATGCGAGACACAACGATGTAATAAGTATAAGAAATAAATGAAAGAAGTCACTACTATCGAATTTGGAATAGTTTAATCAGTAATACAGACGGTTCTAGCATTCCTTTAATGTTATCCGATCAAAAATATATGAGTGCAACTACTTAATCGAACATAATCGATCAAATAGTCTGTTCAAAAAGTAACAAACGGATATTTTTCATCGGACATTCTGAAGAATCTATTTTCAATTAAATGTGACTGGATTTTTTGACCGATCAAAATAATCGTAAATATTCGTTTGTTACTTTTTGAAAGGATAATCCGATTATTACGATCTGAAAAAGCCTGTATATTTTTTTAGTGCAATAGATGACTGTTGGTATTCAGATAAGTCAGATGTTTGTATGAAATGTGTATAACCTCAAAATATCGGAATTAGTGAGATCAAATTACAACCGAAGAGGCGATAATTGAAGCGCTTCGCGCCGGACGTTCGCTGACTAAAGTAATTCATCGGATACTCGCGATTGATCCTTTACGACATCGCGCAAAAGTATACAGACGCGAAGAAATCCGAAGAAAATTCTGCTAACCCGGCGAGGCAGAGTTATTCAAAAAAAGACTGCAAGGACACCGGCTGTCCTCCAGAGCTCATTTCGGAAGACTCAGGAGTGTCGCTTCGAAAATTATTTACCATACTGAGGGTGAGTGAGGCCACTTTTGAATTGCCGAAGATTTGAGATACACGTCTTATGTGCTCAATATACGATAAATATTGTATGAAAATGTTAAGGCCAAGAGAGATGTTAAGGCCCGCTGCAATTTGCTTCTTTATTTGTTGAAGCACGAAGCCACGGGTCGCCTCAGATTTTTTCCAATAAAATTTTTATTGCTGATGTAAAAATGGACCGGAAGGACGACCGCTGACTCGCTCATGATCCCTAGGATGTCCTCGTAATAACTAGGACAAAGTTTCCGGCAAACGTTCACGTCCTAAGTGTCGTCTCCAATGAGAGTGACATCATATCGCCTTATTTAAAAAAAAAAAGAAAAATCATCATGAAGGAAGTTTATCTCTGGTTTTTGAGAACTGTAGTGAATCTATAGATGAAAACTCTGGAAGGTCGTATATTTTTTAACAGGACGGCGTGCCGACTCACACAAGTCATTTAATACAAAAAATTGGCTCTCCCACAACGTGGACATGTTTTGATCCAAGGAATTCTGCCCTCCCAATAGTCCAGATTTAAATCCTTTAGATTACTTCGTTTGAGACGTTATTAAAAGAGTGTCTAACAAGTTCAGGTACCCCAACATGACAATTTTTCAAGCCGCTATGATTGAGGCAGCATTTATGAATATTTAGACAGTTAAAGAGAGCGACCTCGCGCTTTAGAAATTAGGGCAGTAATCGCAGCAAACGGGGATTATACTAAGTAATAAAATTCAGAGAGGATCCTTCAAGCGACACACCAAAAAATTTTTGTATATTTTCAAGTTTTTTTCTAAATAAAATGGCGTTTTAATAAACTGATTGTTTTATCCAGATATAGCTGATTTTACACATCCTGTAAAAGTACTATAAATTGGAGGCTGAAAGAATAGTTACTGTTAAGATATTAGAAAAGGATACTTCTTGTTTTTCTTTTTTTTCTTTTCTATCGAACTGAAGTGCACTTACCATTCCGAAATATTCTCAGACTGTCACTATGCATGGCATTACTACTGTAAACCATGGAGGCATCCAAATAACTGGTCACTTGGGACAATTGTTCTCTCGGTCCAAATTCACAGCCCTCCTTAGGAGCTGGTCCGCTTCTGAGAAATTCCAAACACCTTACACCCAAAGGACCATAGAAATTGTCGCGCGAATTTACTGCTATCGGAAGACACTCTGGATGCTATATGATTTACATATACATATTATATTATAAGTAGGTATACATAGTATAAACCTTATGTGACCTAATGCTTAATATGATCTATTTGCTATTTCTAGAGATACGGCAGTGTCTGGGCGCTAAGGAAAATGGATAGCGTTTTAGTGCGAGAGATTAAGATATATATATCAATGCACAAAAAATTAAGAATAGGAGAAAAATATTGAATATTACACAAATAAAAAATTGTAAATGAATATTACATATAACTGTAATAGATACAAGTAAGGTGTAAGACATAATACAGCGTATTTGTATTCATTGTGAGTTACGTCCAATCTATATTTTTTTACATTTAATACTTAATATTTATTTAGTAATAAATTAAAACATAATAGAGGAAACCGGGTTTCGTTGGAATAGTTTTTACAATTTCGGCATTAGATTTTTAAATCAATTAATTATTATGATTAAAATATATCAATATAATAGAGAAAATCTGTCTCTACATTTTTATACCAGTAATAGTTATATACACTGTATAGTTTCTTTGCAATAGGGAATACCGGGGCTAAGTGGGCATCTTTTTTTCTCAATTGCAGTTTTCAATGACAAAATAAATGATTTTAGCCAAATAATTATTAGCATTTTATAGAATGATTATAAGACAACAAAATGGCAATAAAAAGTTTTAGTGTTTGCAACTTCATTTCATTTATATACACAAAAAATGATACCTAGGAAAATGAAATCTAAAGAATGCTAGGGACTAAGTGCGCACCCTCCGGGGCTAAATGGGCACCATATTTTTTTTATGCAATATACAATAAAAATATGTCATTATGGTCAAAATATCAAAAACTGTATTAAATTTTATTTCGAATATTTAATTTGAATCTTCTGATTCCATATCAGACAAATTTTTTTTCAAATTTTTTCACCGCCAATGCTATTTTCATATTATTTTTTTTGACTAGTACAACTCTAGACATCCTATCTTTATCAATGGAATCAGTTTTACACTTGCGAATCATATTGTAATTAACACGAAAATATGATAAAAATATTGTAAATAAAAAATTGCGCGAGGTTAGGTGGTTTCATACCCTTAGATCCGATGGCTTGGTGCTCTCTTAGTGCCAAACGTATATTGTAACTTTTGACATAAATAAAATTTAAACAATTCTGAAAATAAAAGAAATAACACAAGAAATGTGTTCAGAATGCATTTTTCATAGATTTACTTATCTGAACAATTTTGAATTAAAAAAATAACAACCATCAGGATACCTATTGTCTGAACGTTCTAAAAGTTATTTTTAACTATCGAAAACACGTTTGACTATCTGATTTAAACATAACAACGCGACACTTAAACTAACCAAATTTCGTTGATAAAGAAAACACATGAGATGCCATCTAAATACAATGTAAATTGGGAACTCATAAGAAATATTTTTATATTTTTGCCACTCAAATTTTAAATGCTAGTTTAGCTCCGGTGCGAACTTAGCCCCGGTCTCCCCTAAGTAAAATACATGCTGCATTATAACTTATGATATGTGAGAGAAATTGGTACATATCACAGTATAAATTGCCTCTATAATAAACTCTATATTAAACTAACAAAAACATAATAGAAAAGTAATAGGAATAAAAATTAGAAGGTAAATATGTATTTTTTAATAAAAATTATATCTTTTAAAGTTATTTAATAATAATCAAATAGCAAAATGTTACAGAAAAATATGTATAAATTATTTTAATTCTACCATATTTTAATACAAAAGCATTAAATATAAAGCGTTTTGTCAGAGTTAAATTGTAATTAAATATTCACACATGTGATACAGCGAATTAACCTAATCTAACTTTTTCTTATGATATCAGCCAACGCATCCCATCCCTGCACACATCCGATTTTAATTATTTTATTATAAAAAATTACCATAATTACTCAAAATATCATTTTGTATATTAACAAACGCTTATTTTTTAACTAATAATATATCGCTTAGATTTGTTTTAGCAAGTCAAAGGGCATTAATACAAGATTATAAAATGATCAAAAATTTACTTGTGTGCTCTTGAATTAGACTTTTTTCTTTTTCTATTGTATTATAATACTTGTTTGATTTAAATGAAACTTAAGGAGAATTATCTATGTTGTAAAAGAAATATTTTGCAGTAACTTCTCCATTGTTTCTCTTATCATAAATATATAAACGGAACGCATTGCCAATTTGCCTCTTATGCCAATGAACCTCGGTCTCCCCTATTATTTATATCTTAGAAAGATGGCACTGCAATAAAATGCACTGTAATATTTCAACGCTGTTGCAGTTGAATAAACTACAATATAATAATTGATCGATTGCTGTAATATTACAGTGCAATATATCACATTGTAACCATTGAATGATATTGCGGTAATATTACAAGGCGATATATCACATTGCAATATTTGCACGATATTGCGGTAATATTGCTTTGCGATATGTCGTACTGCAATATTTAAACGTTATTGTGGTAATAAAGAGTTTTTCAACAAGAAGTAGTATTTTAAATTATTTTAAAAAACGCATTTTTTTCTAAGAAAGCTATGATATTTTTATTTCAATTTCAAATACAGACTGTGAGGTTCTGTTTTAAAAACAATATCTGCCAAATAGCCGCTTTGGCTTTTCTTACAAATGATCTTTTAGACAAAATCATCCTTTTGAAGAAATTTTATGGTGTATGTTATGTTATGTTATAATGTAGATCTTATTCTTCACGTAGTCTCAAAGGAAAAAGTCTAATGGCGTTAAATCGAAATATGCGAAAATGTGACGAAAAATTTCGTCAAAAGGATAACCATTTATAAAAAAGACAAGGCGACCATTAGCGAATATCGTTTTTAAAATATAACCTCACAGTCTGTATTGAGATTGGAATAAAAATATCACAGCTTTCTTACAAAAAAAATGCGTTTTTTTAATAATTCAAAATACTATCTCTTGTTGGAAAACCCTTTATTTCAATGCGATATATCATATTGCAATATTTGAACGATATTGCAATAATATTACATTACAATGTATCACATTTGGACGACATTGTAGCAAACATTGCAGAATGATATATCAAATTGTAATATCTCAATAAAATTATGGCAGTATTATATTACATTATGATATATCGCAATGTAACATTTCAGTAGTATTTACGTAATATTGCATTACAAGTTATAATATTATTGTAATATTGCAATCTTATTACTGCAATATTATATACTATGTGTGTTTCTCTTGTTAAATCTTTATTTTTCTGCAAAAACACATCAATTCAGCGTATTTTTATCAAAATTTGAGCTTTTCTTAACATTTACCTTTGTCACTAATCGTTCTATAACCTATTAATCAAATGGAACCAAGGTGGTTATATCTATATATATCTACACATTACAGCACACTAACATTGAATCAATGTCTTAGAAACGTCGATTGTAATATTGCGAACATTACAGTAATATGTCGCTGAAATGTAGATTCAATGTTGAAGAAACGTTGTTGAAACGCATAATGTTCGTTGAATTGCAATGTCTGTGAGACATAAGAAATGTTTCTCATAATAAATTCAATTTTATTATTATCTTTAAGATTGAAAATATTTTAATAAAAATATTTTTATTATTAAATATTATTGATTAACATCATATTTCAGAACACACACGATAAAATTATAATTGAAAAAAGCTTTCCCTTTGAGAATTAATTTTCTTATTTTTCTAAACAATCATCTATCCAATCTTATACGCCATCCAATGATGCTTAATCTCTGAAATCGAACTGCAACTTTGATAACAAACATTGAATGTTAGTGGACAAAATATAATTGTGATATATATATATATATAAATATGTAGAAAGACCACGAATCGACATCACGCATCGGACTGGTTAACACAAACAATACCATACGTGCAAACATTCCCTGACAGCACGGAAAGTTTCAGTTGTGTTGCAGGGATCTTCCAATGTATTGTATCTCAATTATGTATCATCACAATTGTAATATTTCTAAGACTATCTTCTTTGAAATATTACAATTGCAATATTTCTGCAATTACCTTGATTAGAATCTTATCTGAAATGTTCCTGTAATGTAGTTAAATATAGTTACTATATTTCAATGTTATAAACGCAAAGTTTCTGAGAGATTTTTGAAACTTTTAATTAATAAACACAGATATAGCATTATCTATTCGATTGTGATCATGCTCACACACGCGAACGCACGCATACACGCACACATGCTCGCACGTACACAACATAGATAAGAATATTAATTTTTTAGTAAATAAGGTAAAGTATATAATTTTAGAGAGTAAATATATTTAATGAGAAAAAAAAGAGAGAGAAAAAGAATACCCCTAAAATTTTATTTTTATGGTTACATTTTTTAATATATTTTATTAATTTAATATATTATGTAAAGCTCTTCTTTAATATCCCAAGTGAAAATTTCATACATACATGAAATACTAGCCCAGTACAAATTTTCAATATTAAACACCGGCGCGATACTAAATACCAGTACCGGTATAGTATTGGTAAAACACTGGGATAATAGCAATGAGTCAAGGTTTGGAGTACAGTACTATTATAGTACAGTATTATAGTACAGTATTAGAGTACTATTACAGTACGAGATTACAATATTATAACAGTATCCAGAATTAGTATATATTATACCTAATATCCATATTGATTTTTAGTACTGTAATAGAAACAATACTATAACAAAAATCGTTACTGATTCATAATATTGCAACAATACCAAATATTAATACCAATTTTTAACAGTACTAATACTATATAAAAAGTCCGTACCAATTCTTTATACCGTAAAAGTCGTATAGCCAATTCAAAAAAGGTTACAGCTTCAGCTTTAACTCCAGACGGAGTAGGCAAAAGTGATGATGCCCGTATTTTGCGGTCCTTTTATATCATATCTGGATGTTATTCAAACACGCGAAA